CATTTAATTAATTAAAAGTGCATTAGTGAGTCTCGTTGGGTCACGAGGGTTGACTCTCATGCGACTCCAACTGGGGTGATATTATAATATTAATTCCACAAATTTTCACCAAAAACCACCCCAAATAAAAAAAAATCCCCAACTGCACTTGCGCAAAGTGAATTTACAGATGCATTTATCCCATCGTCATGCGCTCAATGACTCCATTACTCTCAACTATTTTATCTTCATTTTCTGCGGTTGATATTTTTCTCAGTCTCAACCTTGATAGAAAAAAAAAAAATAACGATCAGTCTCATGTCATCGGTGTGATCACCGATGGAATCAGAACACCACCAGGTGCAAATTACATAGGGGGGAGGCTTTAAAACCATTCGATGTTAACGTCATGGTAAAGAGCAGCTGACTCTTCATAAGCCCATCATCAACAACAAAACTCATCGGCTTGGATATAACACTTGGTAATCACGTTAATGCATCCTTTTTATCTTCCACTCGTACGCTGCCTTTTCACAATGTTCCGATATACGACATCTTCCATCTTTTATTTTTCATTATTTTTTCAGTCTCAATGACTCACATTAAGGGAATTATTTGTGGCCTCATGGAGGCGCCAGGCTAAACGCTCAATCACCCATCGATAATATATCCCATCACTTCATTATATCAGCGCATCTGTTGAACCATTAAATGTATTTAACGCCGGTTTATTGACGAATCATTCGAGTCATTTTTCATCACCAAATCTCAGGGAGATCGATGGATTCCTGATTGGAAGGGTTTTAAGGTACCATGAGTCGATGGGCTTCTGATAAATTTACAATCATTCAACGAATTGTTGGAATTCCAGTAAAAAAATATTTTAAAAAATTACTTTAGGTAGATACTATTTAAAAATTTTTTGTCGATGGGTAAAATACAATTTATTGGGAATTAATGGTGAATATTCCCACGGAGGAACGATAAAATTCAATATTTTTACAACCGCAATTACCGGTACTCTATTTTATTTTCATGTTTTATTTGAAGGGTTAAATGGCCGTTGATGGGATAAAATGTCAATTTTGATTGTATTTAAAGTCAATACTTTCCCAAACGCATTAACATTTCACCCTGGATAGACACCCGGGTCAAATGAGTTAATGAAGACGAGCATGCGATGCATTACGATGTATTAAAAGAGGGAGAAAAATATGTGGGTAACAATGAAACCCCGAGTCCGCCATTGACACGTGTCAACGTTTACCCAATAACATGAGATATTAATAACAATATTCCCCTCCATATATTCCATTGGCTATAAATTAATTTTACTGATCAATTACCAATCGATTTCGTCTCATTGATCTAGAATTCGCGGGATTTCCGCGGATTTTATCATTAACGATTTGTTGTTGATTGTTATTAATAATGGATTGGAACTTGATAATTGAGATGAGGGGATCCTGATGAGGGGGTGGTGATGAGGGGGTGGTGATGAAAGGGTGGTTTTGGGAGAGTTAAAGCCGACGGATGCCAGGATCGCGTGAGGGGTACGAGGCAGGCGCACCGGGTGTTGGATCTCTCTCTTCTTTTTTTTTCATTTTTTATTGTTCCGGGTGTAGGATCGATGATGAAGCAGCAGGCGATGAGGTTAAACATGTACGGTGTGAGCCAACGGGGGAGAAGAGATGGCCCCAGACTGACCGCGGGTCACGCACGCGACTTTATCACGTCGTTACCTCTTCGGCTTCCCCTTTCATCCACCTTTCATCGCATTTATATTTTATCATTCACTCATTCAGGACGAGATTTCACTACTCAAGTATTTTTCACAGCTCTGCACCGATTTCCTAAAATTTCCAGCGATTTTCAAATATTTCCAGTGATTTTCTCAAATTTCCAGCATGTTTTCATATTTTCTTTTTTTTCTGGATATTTTTCTTCATGCAGTTTCTTTAAGACTTGTCTCTGAGAATTCCCTCAGCAATATGACGACTGGATTAAGGGAAAAATTTCCAGCGATTTCCACACATTTCCAGTGATTTTCAAAAATTTCCAGCGATTTCCAAACATTTCCAGTGATTTTCCAAAATTTCCAGCATTTCTCATATTTTCTTTTTTTTCTGGATATTTTTCTTCATTCAGTTTCTCTGAGACGTCTCTTTAAAAATTCCCTCAGCAATATGGCGACTAGATTAAGAGAAAAATTTCCAGCGATTTCCAAATATTCCCATTAATTTTCCAAAATTTCCAGCATTTTTCATGTTTTCGTTTTTTTTCCGTATATTTTTCTTCATGCAGTTCCTTCAAGACATGTCTTTTAGAATTACCTCAGCAATACGGCGACTAGATTAAGGGAAATATAGTGATAGAAAGTCAAAGGCCTATCTATTTGCCGATATTGTAACTCGATTGCTGGAGTACAGACTCTCAAAGAAAGTGCCTCACCAAAGGTCATATCCAACTCGACCGAGCAATACCAAATGCCAATCTACTTACGAAATACCGTATTGTAACAATGATACCCGTACGAGGGTCGTCTTGTGCCCCAATCAACATTCCCTCATACATTCTTACAACAATTTCAAACTGTGCCACTGGTTGTCATCACGTGTTAACCTGACATTTCGATATTTAATTCAGCATTTAAACGACGCAAATGTGGAATTGATATATCGAACAGTTTCACTCTCATTGAAACCCCTGTATCAATAACGTATCGATAATCATGAATTATTATTGTAATTATTATTGCCACCGAATTATTAATATTTTATTAATACAAGTAATTATTTACCATTTGTAAATCGTATTTGAGATGATTAGATGTGGTGATATTTTTTCATCGCGTAATTCTGTCGCTCGGCAAAAATGTCCGGCGCCAAGTTGAGTCGAAAAAGATTATCTCTCTATCACCCCCTGAAATCGGCGTTTTTCTCTAAAAAAAATTGCCGAAAAAAAACTTAATACAGAATAATTTAACCATAAATATGGAGGTTTTTGTGGGCGTAAAATAACGATAATGCAAGTAAAATAATGGACGGTATACAAGTTTTATTACCCCCGGGGCGAGTGAATGGTGGAGAGATAGAATCTTTTTCTTTTCTCTCTTGTTCGGTTTAGTATCCTTTGAGAGGAGTTTTGTAAGGAACTCGTGTTATCCATTGCCCCTTTGGTCTTTTAACTTCACGCATTGACTCCCGCAGGCGAAACAAGACCGGAAAGGGACTTCCTCAAATCTCCTCAAATCATTTATTTATTTCTGCAAAAATTCTCATTTCTCTCGAATAATAAAAAAATAAATAAATGGGGAGTGATCCCGCGAAATCGCGAGGCGTCCGCCATTTTTATACGCAATGTCAATTTTATTTCAATCATTCCCCGGATACTTCTCGTGCCATTTTGACGTACTCTCTTTAACTTTAGGACATTGGATCTAAAAAGGGAGTGGCCAGCCCCAGAAATTGATTCGATCCGGTTGCTTCTGCGCTCTTCTCAATATCAATCTCATCATCACCGCGCGTGCGCTTCCACCAATCCGGCAGCCATTCTCATAATTATCTCCACCGCGAAATATTCCGCGATTTACCCCACCCCAAAAAAATAAAACTCCTCACAATTTCACATCCAATATTCAATAATTCCCATTCAAATAAATAAAATAAATTAATAATTATCTTCACGAGATATTACCGCACTTAAAAAAATAATTACCAAAAATTTACCGTTTGATTTAAAAAATGGCGCGTTAATTCAATTAAATTAAATAATCAACATCAACATGAACTTATGCACCATCAGAATGCTAAACCCATTACCCGAAGAAGAATGACTTATGCTTTTGTTTGTTATGTATGAATCCACCTCTCGGTGTTGCAGAAAGGATTCTCCTTTTGTCTCTGACTTTTATCTCCATTCTCATTTTTCTCATTCTCTTTTATTTTCATTTTGTCTCACACCCGCCGCGAGACTTCGGAAACGCGTTATTAACATCAGTGACCTCTTCTCCATTCCATATCTCTATTCGTCTATGATTATCCTACATTAATAGCCGGACAGACTCGAACTTTGCTCCAGCGAATATATTTTTTTTTTGCCAATTTTTTCTTCACCACTCACTATGCTATTACCGCACCGACAAAATCATATGCTTTCCGAAAATCATGTGACTCGTCCTAATCGCTTTATTCAATCCCAAAAAATCATTGCGTGTTATTATTTCTGTGGCATTCATTTCACGTTTCGTTCATTCGTTTCGCTCGACATCAATAAATAATTATGCTAAATCAATTATTCATTGGGGCATCCACGAACCCGAAGGAACAGTTAGATTACTCTTTCCTTTCGTCTTCATCTACATCTGAAAAAGCGTTGAGTCATCCACAAGAAGAACAAGAATTAACATTCAAATCACTGGATCAATCATTCAATCTCGAGTTGGGATTAATGAATATTTCGGGTGGACTACAATTGTGGAAAAACAAATGATTTAATAAAACCCCCGCAGAATTGTTTGGTGTTGGTGAACAAGATTTAGCGTGTGCTCAGAGAATCCCGAGAGAACCCCACCGTTACATATCATTCATCAATAAGTCATCCCGGTGATGAAAAATCCATCGAAAATGTTCTCGGTTCTGTTCTGGTTGTACCACCTTGTTTGTTAACCATTATAAAATATTCATAAAAAAAAGAATCATTGTACAAAAGTGGATGGAGGGAGGAGTCAGAAGTGCGTGTACAAATCATAAATACGAAAGGGAGAATGACGGGGCAACGAGCGGTTCCAACCTACGACAGAACCCATACCAGCATGCATTTTCTGCTTTTGAAAAACGAATGATAAAACGAAACGAAAGTGAAATAATGGATTGTAAAAAAAGGTACCATAACTCGAGCGAATCCACGCGTCACCACCTAAATAATCGAAGATTTATGAGTCAATCATCAGTGAATCGATATATTTAATCAGCTGTTGAGTATGAAAATAAATTAATCCCCAGTATTTGTTGATATTCCAGCAGACATCAGACCTGGATACTCTGCTGTGTCGCCAGGACCTGGAGCAGCTCCAGAAGCTCGACGACGATGATCCCGATAAATCACGCGAGCCGTTACCAATGGATGATTTTTTCGAGACAAGTGGACCAAATCCATGCCGACCTCAGGCCAGTTTCGTATCAACGAGGAGTCAACCAGCTGGTAATGATGATGACGTATTCCTCAGGCCACCACTGTGGGAGGACATCACATCGAGCATTCAAAAGCTCGATCCAGAGAATGCCGACATGCTGGGTTCACAGACTAATCAGAATATATCGCACGTTAAAATGGAGACAGACGATATAACATCACCTGTTCTATCACCAGTTGAGATAAAGAGTGAACCTATGCAGCAGCAACCGACACTTCATCTACTCGAAGGACGACAGAGCAATATCAATTACTCAAGAACGAGTAACGATCATCGAACGGGTCTCAAGACATTTAATAACAATAATAATAATAATACAAATAATAATAATAATAGCAGTAGTAATAATAATAATGAGGGGAATCATCATGGTCACCAGAGTGGTAGTGCAACCTCGCCCCTCTATGGATCAATGACGAGGCTCATGTATGTTTCACCTTTAACGCCCCCAATATCCGATCCAGGATCACCACTTGGTGGACCACCCAGACGAACACCACCACCTCCTTATCCCCAGCCATCCATGATCAATCAGAACCACAGGATTCAGACGGCTTCAATTACCAAATTTAATCGTAGGAATAATCCGGAGTTGGAGAAGCGGAGAGTACATCACTGTGACTTTATTGGTAATGATTATTTTTCTATTTCTTATATTCTTATTTCCAAACAACTGGTAATATCTATGGAACTAGGGGAGATGGCGAAATTATCGATTGAACCATTTTTGTAGAGTTAATCGAGCTCTGCAGAAAAGGTTATCTTTAAAATTTTTCTATCTCCTGTAGTTTCGGAGGAATTCATCATCGAAGAGGAGATCGAAAGGGGTAATTTGAATTGCCTATTTGTTTACAGGTTGTACAAAAGTTTATACTAAAAGTTCTCATCTGAAGGCGCACCAGCGGATACACACAGGTAGATAAAGATTTACCCATTAGTTATGTTAGAAGGTGAATGAATAAATAAATTGAGTGAGTGCGGTTGGGGATTGAAGAAAAATAATTTTGATAATTTAATGGGCATTGCGGAAATTCAATGATAATAATGCAAAAATAGTATTCGATGCCCTCCAGGGCGTGGTTCGATCGTTGAGATCGTGTGTGGGTGACTGGTGAGTGTATGTAAAGAGACCGGTATATAGAGACGGGTTATATAGAGGTGAGATGGGATTATGTGCAACACCGAGTTAGCGACCCACATCTCAAGACGTTCACATACACTCGAGTTTACAGCGCAAATGTACCATTATTGAAGAATATTCACCTGCGGTTCAACGCGTAATTTTCAATTCCCTAGTAAATCAGTAATTGATGAAATATCATGAACAATAAAAAAAGGAAATTGTTACAATCTCTGGGTCATGGTTACCAATCGAAATAATCCAACGCGAAATATTACCGAAAAAATCCCAAAAAAAATTGCAAATTAAATAATTACTGTTTAAAATATTTACGACATATTATGATAACTAGAAAATATTATTTTGGAATACTTTGAGGGGTAGTATAATTATTGAATGAAATTTAGAGGTCTGGTGTTTAATTATGGTATTGATTTCTTCTAATATAATTTTTATGAGACTCTCGTCATTTTGGGACACCCTGTAGATTTCATCAATAATAACTATTCAAATTTTTATCGTTTAAGAGCACAAAAAAAACATCAAATTGCAAACTCGTCCCATAAATCAAAGTCTCGAGTGAAAAAACTTGATTGAGGATTGAAATTCAAATACATTGAAATCCAAGAAATGAGACAAACAAAATATGGGGGAAGAAGAGAATGAGTGGTGGTAACAGGTGTAACTTAATTGGTTTAAAAATCTTTAAACAAAATGAATAAATAAATAAAAATAGTATCGGTAGTGCGATGTGTTCGGGCACGTGGCACACCGGTATCTTTTGAATGGATGCGCCATCTCGTAAGTCTACGGTCAACGTGCATTCAAGAAAAGGTACATAGGTACCCGTTTTCATTCTTACATGGTACATATGTGAACGGGTTATCGTTAATTTGTGTGAGAAGATGTCTTCAGGGCGAGTTGGCGTGTGCGCGGGCGCGAGGCGAGCGACATTCCTCCCAGTACTCCATATATTTTCTTCCCCAACACATATATACCATGTACATTATATATCTATCGATCTATCGATCATCTCACTATAGCCCAGTAGAATCTCCGGCACTAATTAATATAATTACTTAGTCATGAAATAAAACGCGAAAATACGAAAATTCCATTTCGACTATCGACCATACATCCCTAAAAATCTCGAAATCTACGGGAGATATCGAAATTTTTGATAAAATCATATATATAGAGCCAATCAAGCCCCGTAAAAAAGGTCATTACAAAAAATTCGTTATGTCCTTTAGTTTCGAAAATTTTCTGCGCCGACGACAAACGCACGGGAATTGATAAAATAATAGTCTTTCTCCGATGGATTGTCCAAAGAGATTTCGCAGTGATATATTAATTAATTGAATTTCTCTTCTATTGCAGGTGAAAAACCTTATCAGTGTCAATGGCCCGAGTGCGAGTGGAGATTCGCCCGTAGCGATGAATTAACCCGACATTACCGTAAACACACCGGTGCTAAACCATTCAAATGTGCAGTATGCGAGAGATCCTTTGCCAGAAGTGATCACCTGGCGTTACACATGAAACGTCACTTACCAAAACAACACGCTAAGTGACAGGAGAACGGTGTCAAGATGACTGTAATTCTCACAACTGAGGAATTATCCTCAGGATTCTAATCTCTAAATGGACACGTTTGTAGAGAACAGAGGGGATGAAAAAAGAAAGTGCACTTAGGGACAATTATTCATTGGAAATGAAAACGCGCACGAATTGACAGCACTGAGTCGCCCTGAGGTCCAGAGTCCTGAGTCAAATCCAAAATTGACTCTGGATTAATTCCAGGTTCAAGAGATTTTTCCAGAGATTTCTTTTTTATGAATTTTCTCTGGATTTTTGATGGCCTTGAATTTAATTTAGAGTCTAGTCTGGATTTGGTGTTTCAGGGGGGCCTACTGTACTTGCAACGGTGGCTGGTCCACGAATATTATGAATACTTCAATCGAGCGTGTACTTGAATCGTGATGAGCCTCAGGGTAACTCTCATTAACCCATATTAATCATGTTCTCCTGTTTGTTCAAGACCGCCTGCCATCCACCGCGACTACTAGATTTTAAGGAGATTTATATTAATTATCCAAAGACTATATTGCCGAATGTCCTGGGGACGCGTTACGAGTACTCGATAAATGAATTGATGATCGAAACATCTGATTAGTTGAAAAAGAGAAAATACGAGTCGAGGGATTGAGTACTCACGACGAAGGTCACAAATCAGAATTATTTGCACATGTATACTTCCTAGATTAATGTTTAAAATTGAAAAGTGTAATTATTCAAATTCCCGTCACTTATCCAACTCTAATGGAACTCGATGAATAATTAATGTGAATTGATTGACGAGGAAAATTCATTAACCCTTAAGTGTAAATTTAAATGTCCTAGTCGGAGCCGATGTACAAAGATGTACTTACAGCTGATACTAGATTTTATCCATTGCGATTAGCGCAATTGATTATGCAGAAAATTGATGTTAAGGAAAAATTTAATTTTCAGTGACGGTTAGTCACACCGAGTGTATTATTATCAATTAGAACGAATTGCACTGGTAATTAATGGCAAAACGTGTTTAGTATTATTCAAATGATATTCTGATTATTTCGCTCCAACGAAAATTCCAGGCAAAATGTATTCCAGATTTTTTTATTATCTGATGATTTTTTTGTTAAATGTATCTTTGTAGAAAATTGTTTTTATAAATGGAAAATTTATGTGTAAGGCACTAAAACAAAACGAAAAAAAAAAACAAGTAAAAACGTTCTCGGAAGTTATATGAAATAGTTGAAGAAATAAAGTGAAATAAAGTGAAATCACCATAAACATTTGTGTTATTCTTCATATCTAGAACCGGCGTTATATCATCAGTGGATGATAAATATTGTTTGCTCAATTCATGTTGAACTTCGATAAACATAAGATTTTGTGGGAACAGTCAGGATAAAGAGTCAATTACACTGAAAAATTCATGTATTTTTCAAATTACTTAGAAACATGTATTAAATTTTTTTTCTCATCCCACTTTAAGCATTCTTACCATATAAACGCAATACTTATTTTTTCCATTTGGATTTCAATTCATCCAACGTTCAAAGTTAATGTAAAAAAGTATTGGTACTTTATTTTTTAATGTTTTATGGAATATTCTTTACTCGTTGGCAACCAGTGCAATCATGGTAAAGCGAACATCATCGGGATCTCTAGCCATGTATTCACCACAAACTTTTGTGGCATTTTCGAGCAACTGATCTCTGGTAGTTGGACCATAATTTATGGGGAATGGTTTCCTTCCATCTGAATAATAGTGAAATAATTAAAAAATGCAATTTAAGTGAAAGAGATTATTGGATTTAATTTCATTTCATTTGAATTTTTTTTTGTACTTACCCAATTCATACAGAGATCCATTTTTCTCCACATAAGCCACAAAATGATGATAAACCGGTGCATTTTCCTGAGGGGCTTCAGTCTGTCCCTCCTGTGCTAATTGTTCATGAGCATCGGTAATTCCACTAGCTGTATTAACCAACAATTCCCCACGCTCTGTAAATGATAAGTCCTTAGCTTTCTCCAGGAATGTCTTCAGTATACCGTCCTCCAGATCAATCCTAAAAAAGAAAATGAAAATTCGAAAGAAAACTGAAACTGATTTTTTTTCTCTCAATTTTTTCGAATTACTCAAGCGATTTACTTCTTCAAGCATTTCTCAATGTTTCTATACTTTTTAATCTTCTACATGAACTGGATCGTGTACTTACTGGTCTTCGTTGTTAGCAATCGCATGCACAAGGGCAACAGTTCCACATGCGTTGGGAACGCACTGTTGCATGTGAAAAACATTTGGCGAAATTTCTTCCCCTTTTTCTGTTATTTTTGCGATCAACTCTGCAGTGTACGCTGCAGCCTTGAATTCCAATAGATTATTTAATCATTAAGTAATATTTAATTTATACTCTCCATTACTAAAATTATGAGATGATGGAAAACTCGAAAAATATCGAGAACTTTCGAAACATACGTGCTCAATCAGCAATTGATAAAAATTGTTCCGAGAACATTAACAAAACAATCGTAATGAGTCACAGAGGAATAAAAGATGGTATTACAGGATTTGCGCCCCTTTGTGTCAACGGTTTTTCACTGACTGATAACTGAGCGGAATTATTTTAAAAACAGAAAGAAACTTCATATTTTTAATTCTATAATAACGAAAGATTTCAAGACTTACCTACATAATTATTTAAACAGATAATTTAACACATTAATTACCTTCTCACTGTCTGGATAGAGTAGAATAAGTGCGAGCACTGGTTTCGGTACCATATCAAGTAAATCGGAATCTAATCCGTAAACATCCACCAGAGAGAACTTGTCTGGTACTCCAAGTTGATGGATAAACTAAAAATAATAGCGAATGAGCGAAATATATTGAAATGATTGCTAAATAATATGAAGAATTGAATGAAATAAAATAGCTCCAGTCTTCACCTTCGTCATGACCTGAAACAAAAAGGGAAATGATGATTCATCGTCTCCCAAGAGCCGGATAGAATATAAATGAAGTTTATTACCTCAGGATTGGATTCTAGGGGTACTAGAGCCATTTTTTGTTGTTACTATAAAAAAACTTTGGGTAAAAATTGAAATTGTTGATGAGAAGCTGGTGGTTGAGTTCTACTTTTGCTCTCGGTGGAGAAAACACTACAACTGTGGAATTCTTTGGCTATCAGAACAACCACACCGGCATCAACATGAACAAAGCACTGGAGACGGAATTGCATGATCTGACATCTACACTGTGTAATTTTTTTGTGCAATTATTATCGCCCCCTCGGCCGATAATATCGATCTCTTGCTCCGGGAATAAAAAATACCCCCGAGATAATTTCTATGAACTGCCAAAAAAACTTGATTTTTCAATATTTTTTAATCTTATCAATCAAAAAATACATTGCCGCATTGTCTTAGAATGAAAAATTCACTAAAAAAAAATAAACTAAACAGAATTTTACTCGAAATTATTATCGTAATGGTGAAAAAAAAAGAATAATTTCATAGCTCATTCTTACGTTCTACGATTTTCACGAATAATTATCTTAGAACTTTATTACACCATTTTTATCGACATTTATATCGAGCTCTATCTCTAATTATTACCGCGTTACTCTTAATTTTCGTATTATTCAATTCTCCATTGTTTTTAAACAACTTCATATTTTCGTCATCGAAATACTGCCATTTAAACACATCCTATATTTGTGAATAACTGCAATTCACGAGAAAGTATTTCAAGATCTAATCTTTACAATTATTGAACAATTTCCATAGGCATGATTATTATTTTACAATCTTTTGTCTCATAATACTCAATAAAAAAATAAAATTAATGAGTGTCATTTTCTCTATAATTCAATAATCAAGTAAAATGAGGAGAAAGTTTCTCTCTAAATCAACTCTGAAAAATTCCCATATCTGAAACCTCCATAATTTATTGCTAACACTAATCAATGAAACATTAAAAATAATTATTCACACTCTATCTCCTTATTTCATTCAACTATCGAATTATTATCAATAAATAAACTTGTCGTTTTGTGTTGTTCTGCGATAGAACCGAAGAGTATTTGTCATTTTTTTTTCTGTGAGAATTACACAGGTGTCACGTAAGATAATTAATTGATTTTTCCATCGCCTCTGTGTCGGAGATGTGAGAGAAAAATTTGACGAGTGCTACAAATGAATACAGAAATACTAAGAAAACACCCGTGATTTCTGCGAGGATTAATTATTTAAATAAACACGTTCAAGAAAATTTTCATAATTTTCATGAAAACGCTGACAACGAAGACGGAGAATTTGACTCGTGACATTAAAACTAGATAAATCAGCCTCTTCAGAGTATTTCGAAGAATTGCTGATTCATGAATTCACCATTTGTGATCGCTCTTTCATTAAAATTCCCACATGGTTTTCTATAAACACCGAGTGGAGTCAGAGTGTTATCATCAAACAACAGTGAAATCATCTGGAGATTGTCCCTCCAAAATTGTCCATTCGCATTACGATCTCTTCTCAACAAAATGAAAAAATTATTTAAGATCGAGTTCAACGTCTGGACTATCAAGAGAAAATGGTTTGAGATTTTCAACAATTGGAGTTTCATCGGGATCAATTTTAATTCTTATCTTATTCGTCTCAAGCGAGCGTGGAAGGGTTCTCTGCAGGTCCTCCTTGAAGGAATTTGGTGATAGCGGTGAATAAGGTACATAAATTCTGACAACATCTGGAGAGGGTTGATGAGGTGTAGCACGAGGGGTAGGAAGTCCACCACTGCCAGATGATCCGACAGATATGTTGCTCTGAGTATCCAAACTGTTGTCGAGGGCTTGTGATCTCGTTGCCGAACTGAAGACTGATAAATCAGCTGTTGAAGTGACAGATGTGTCAGCCAGGGATCGACGAGAGCCATGGGGGGACGTACCGTCATCAATGCTCGGATCAAAAGAGAATTTACTCCCTCCCAAGTCACTGCCACTTGGAGGATCAGCTGGAATTGGACTATTGCGAGTCTCTTCAGTCACTGCCTGCTCCCTTCGCTGTGAAACGGACTCTCGAAGGACCAATTGTGCCTCTGAAAATTCCTCAGCTCTTCGTCCAACTTTACTCGTAAATGATGGCTCTTTAAATGTTCCAAATGGAAATCGTGGCAATTCCAGAGGCAATGGTCCCCCAGGATAATCCAGTTTAGCACGTTTCAACTCCTCCTGATTCCTCTCCATAGCACTAATCACTGTATCATCATCGTACCGAAAATCCTTCTCCAATTTGATCTGAAGATAATTGCAAAATTCATCGAGCCCCTCCAGCGGTAGCAGATAACGCTTGTGCAATTTCATTATTGTGTATGCCATTGCGGATAAAATACGGTCCCCGTCCAGCAGGAATACATCCCAAATTCTCAGGCCCAGACTCACCGGTGTTCTCTCTTGGAAAACAACGAAAAACCACTTGAGTGCGTACAGGATCGAGTCACAGCCACACTTGTCAAGTTTTCGCTTCAATTTCGGAAGGAATTTCGTCATTATCTTGTCATGATGCTCGATAAAACGATTTAATTTCGGGAATCCATCGATGTAAAAACCTAAAACGCCGAATTCACCCCTCAATTATCAATTTCTCATCGATCTCCAGCTCGAATAAAAGCAGTGATAATTGGTTAGGAACAAAAAATCGTTAAAAAAATGAAAACAAAATCGAACTTGAGTGGATCCAAAATCTCCAGTAATAACAATTCAATTATTATTACAAATACGAAGGAACGTGAATAATACAATATTTGGATCGCCCCAAGGATAAAAGGGTTTAGATCTGGGTCAGTGTATAATTAGCAAATATCAAAGTATAAAATCGTTCAAACCATGCATGCAGTACTTCTTATCTGCGAGGAGTACAGAGAGTCCCCAGAATGCATCCTCCTCATCCATGTAGAGTAGCAGAAGACCTGCCAGTACAGACATTCCTTGGCAATAACCTACTTCCATATTGTACATGCTGTAGGCTGCCAATACGTAGAACATGGACCTCTGTTTAATGCTATATCTTTCCCTGATAGAAAAATAAAATCAATTAAACTCAATCATCACAGATGTGATGTGATGTAATTGAATGATCAGATGAGTTGATATGAATGTTCATGTGACTGGTAGATTTCGCTCGATGAATTTTTTTTTTCGAAGAGAACCCGGAGTACATAATGGAAGCAGAAAGTCAATATTCGTACCTATAGTCAATATGATCTCTGTATTGTCTTGCAACGTCAGCATCGATCTGTCGAATCTCAGTTGACCATTGTCTGGCAAGATTGAGCATCTCATCGTACTTCCCTGGCTGATCTTGCTTCAGTGTCTGAATGCCAAGGAGCAGAGCCCACACCTGACCCCTGAATCGATCAGGAATACCCTTGTAAATTCTCCTCCTCAATTTCTCTTTAGTCGCTGGACTGTCCCAGTGTTTTGTCATTTTCTCCCACTTCTTGACTCTCTCCATCTCGATGTGGTGCATTTTAATTTCATTCGACTCGTGTTTACGTGGTAATCGTTTGTCGTGAATGAATCCATATCTGTCAGTTGTGTGATAAACCTCATATCCAGGATCTTCCCATGAGTCAATCTGTGCGCCAGGCTCTCTTCCACGATCGTAATTACTGAAAATTCTGTCCCGCTCGGCAGCGGATCGTTTCAACAACTCTTCCTCATTCATTCCACAGAATTAAAACGGTATGTTATCAAAGCATACCGCCTACTTATCACGTCAATTGCAAATCGCCTTTTCTCGAAGCAGAAATTCAGAGATTTATAATTATTTATTTATCGCTGGATTCTCCCATTACTGAGAAATTCATCGGGATGAATTCGGGGGAAAACGAAGAAATTCTCATCTCATTTGCATTGACATTCTAATACTGACACACTGAAACATAAGGTTATATGCAATCCAGATATGTTTTTCGGGGAAATAACTGGAATTCATGAGGGATAAACAATTATTTATTCTCGTTTACCTCGAATTATTCACTGGGTTCACGAGTATTTAGTCACAGAAGTGTTGGGAGTTATTTATTCTCTGCACCCTTTTTTTTATTTTGGTTAAAACCCACTACAATCACTCAATCGTTTACTGTGGTTTACTGATATTTTCTCTCGTGTGAAGTTCGTGCAGAAGAGCGATTTAAATGGCTGTGCCAACTTCACGCTGGAGGGAATTATAAATATCATTTTGGAATTCCAATTGTATTTTTCTCAGGGATATTTTTTTCTCCAGGAAGATCATACGATTTCATTCATCCACACGAAATAGTGGAGATACTTTGAATTGATTTTGAGTGGAAGTTCGAGGGTTTGAAGATAACTCAATTCGTGATGATGCAGCATGACACATGACCCTTGGCTTTAAGGTTAATTATGTGCAATAATTATTAATCCTTTCGAAATCCTGCTGTGTTCATTCGATTGTCGATTCAGTTAAGGCATCATACAATTCGAAAGCAAGTGTTTCTGTTGAGAGAAATAATGTCAAGCAGCAAAGGATTGGAATTAGTCAAGGCAATTGTTGAAAGATCATTGAGACTAAATTCATTCGATGCAGCATGTCTCAAAGGCGTGAGTAGTCATCGATTTTATTTTATTCATCGAGTTTTTTTTAATGAATATCTCATTTACTTTTTTTGCTTTGGAGCAGATGAAATTTTTGTCAGCTGGGGATGGACAGTGCAAAGCGGAATTTATTGTTGGTGATGAGCATTTAAATTCTGCTGGTACTTTACACGGCGGATGTTCAGCTACGATTATTGATTGTATATCCAGTTATGCTTTAATGACGAAATCTGGATTTCCTGGTGTGTCTGTTGACCTCAATGTCTCGTGAGTTTATTTAAAATTCACTTTTGATACACTTTTAATTTAACTTCTAAAATAATTCACTTAATAATCATTCACTTTTTAGATTCTTAAAATCTGCGGTTCCCGGGGAAGTCATTACTGTCGATGCTAAAACAGTAAAAGCTGGGAGAACCCTAGCTTTTCTCGAAGTCGAAATGTTTAAGAAAGGAGGAGCAATCGTTGCTCGTGGACAGCACACGAAATTCATAGGCTCTTAAACTCGCCCTTGCCTCATATTTCCCAAAACCAGAAATGTAAATGCGATAGAAATAAATAGGATGATTAAAACAGGAAAAATTCAGACAGTTATAATTTTCCCCGGAAAGTTTCGACGGAAAATTTGCACTCGGACAATTTTCCAATGGATTTTTCCATTCAAAGGAATTAATCCTGATCAGGAAAATATCATTTATGTTGAAGAATTGACATAAATTTCTCTATCGATCACTTATCTTTCCGGGACGATAAATTCCCCAGGTGTAGGGATTTCCAGTCATTGTGTTGCTGGTAATTTCACTAAACTCATAACTGAGTGAATGGTGGGGGAATTGTAATGAAGAAAGAGGGAAAAGCAGCAGTGGATGTTTCGAGGTCGAACCAAAGTGTTCATGGAGTTCGGCCAGCTCCAACAAAGAATTCCCCACAATTTCTCTACCTTCCAATTTTTTAATCAACATTGTAATAGCGCGAAATAATTATACAATTTTTATCCCCGGAATTTATCCCGCAACAGAAAAAATTCTCGGGTATTTAAACTCATCTATATTAAAAGAGTCAAAACCATCTGTTGCGCGTCAAGTGAAAAAACCTCGAGTGTCATTAGTGTTTTGTGGGTGACACACTCTTCTCGTGACTGATGACAGGAAAAATCAGCTGTCCAAATGAGATTATTTAAATTTGATAAAAATGATCGCTCGAATCGAATAAAAACACAAGTTTTTTTAAAAATAGCAGTTCATCTTCTCTTTGAAACTCCTCGATAAATTTCTATCGTAAAGAAACAATGGATGATACAGAGACAAAAAAAAATCTACAACGATAAAGTAAACTCCATGATACTCAACATAACTTTCATTGATTGGTGGATGAGTAATTCGAGAGTTATTACCCGCATGTAACTCCAGACGAGAGAAGAAATGAATGCAGTCGTTATTCGTCTTCAACTCACAACAAAATAATTTCCTCTTCCCAGAAAAGGGCATAAACTCGATGGATAATTCCTCATGGATCTACCAACGATTTCCCTGAACCCATAAGAGAATTCATAATGGAGGTGAAACCAATTCCAAAGCCCCGATCAACATTTTCCAGTCAACCAGTTCCAGCACCAAGAACCCACGTGCCTCCGCCAGTCCCTCGTTCATTAAGTCCATCATTATCAACGACATCAGAGAAAAGTGATGAGAAATCCTCATCGGAGTGCCGTAGCTCGAGCTCCGAGAGATCGCTCTTCAGGAACTTGGGTAATTCATCAAGACAATTAAAGGATGAAATATCCGAGAAGATGACGGTGAAGGGTAAAGCTGTGATATCGAGCACTAGAAATGCGAGCATTCGCCTGGAGAAATCAGTGAAGAACCTGTTGACACGGAGACTGACGTCGACCAACGATCACGACTCGGTTGACAGTGACAACAAGAAGAAGAATGAAGATCGGTGTGTGTCAATGCCAGGGTGTGATGACATTTTCAGTTCAATTTCATTCTACAGCCCTTTGCAATCGAATTTGAAGTCAATGAGAAATGAAGAGGATCTCACTGAGGCTCGATACAGTCCACCCCCACCAGTTTATCCACCTCCTCCACTTCCGGATGAATCAATATATGACGAATTGCAGTCAGTGACTTCCGGTAGAAGCAGTCGATATGATACACTGAGTTCCACAGTTTCTGATCGGCTCCATGATGATCACATCCCAGAGAACTGCAAGAGTGACTCTGATCAGAGTTTAAATCTCTCAGAGACAACAGCTGATGTTAAACGCCTCTCGAGATCAGATTCCTGGACCTTTTACGATTCAACGTCTGAGAAACAGCTGGCGGATGCCATTCCAGAAGAGGTGGTGAGAGAAATCGACGATCAGATCGGACAGCGAAAAAAATGTCACGACGAACGGAGAGTACCTGAGGAATTGAGCGAGCCTGATATTCTCACACCTCTCACACCTCTCACACCTACTGCTAGCAGTTTATCCGTGAGGAACTCGTTGTACGAGAACTGGACTCCAAGGGCCTTTCGGGATGATGAAGTGAGAATGAACAGCAAGTCACTGCTCTTCGAGTTCGATCCCTTTGCGAGGAGTGATGAGAATACTTATGGGAATTATGAGAGTAATGACCTGATGCTGCTGGAGGCTCTGCTAGCCACCAATGAATCAACGAGTAGTGATGGGAGTCTGGCGGATCTTCAGGAACATGACAATGAGTCTGACGAGCTTGACAATGACGGAGAAAAATCCCCAGCTCCAGCTGTACCTCGGAGATACGATTCTCTACCTAAAAATGAGTACGACGAGGTGGAGATGGTAGAGGCTCCCCAGGTGCCAGAGAAAACCACAAAAAATCCAGCTCTTCTCCCCAAACTCGTGAATTTAGGGAGGAGAAAGCAACCAGCTGTTCCTCCCAGAAAACCACAGCTTGAAGTTCCTCCAGGATCTCCAGGACCTCTGGAGTCTCCAGGAAAACCTCTGGCTGATAAAAAAACATCAGTGATGCAGAAGTTGAAAAAATTACACGATTCTACTGTTCACGTTAAACCAAATGTTATAAATTTTATAAAAAATAAAAAATTGTTGCGCGTTGGGAGGGAGGGAGAGGGGAAGAGGGGAATTGAGAGTCAGAGGATGAGGAGACCGATTATTGAGGAACAAGTTGTGCCAGTTTGTCATCGGGGAATTGTTTATCGTCCTGGGGTGGGAATTGAGAGGGCGAGAGATCTCGTAATGCGAGCTGCTGTTTTGAGTGATCAAAAAATTTGTTTCTACACTGATAAAGCCATGACCACGGTTAAAGAGTCTCTGGCACTTGATAGTGTGCAGAGTGTACATCTTCTCCAGGATGTCAAGTGAGTTTAATCGAAATAATTAGAGGAGTTATTGAAGTGGGAATGGATCTGCGTTATTTCTTACGCTATTTTATTTAATTTTTGTTGCACCGTTTTTTGCATTCACAATCATTTGAAAATTAATGCTTTAGTTCACTTGAAGTGAGAGAAGTATAATTTAAAATTTTGATTAATTATCGATTTATGTGGAATTTATCTGGAATTTATCTGGGATTAATTCAAGGTCGAAGCGTTCACGGAATTTTTCACAGATGGTGAAGTTGGGGGATTTTCTAGGTCAATGGATTTTTTAAAGAATTATTTTATGTAGAATCGTCGATGGGGAAACGGTACACTGTATTGCAGTGAGTTCTGAGGGAAAACCCGGTGTTCACGTATTTTATGCGAAGAGCATAACCGAGCGAAGAATTTGGGCCCAGAGAATTTTGGAAGCTCTGACTCCCGTTTTTCCGGTGAAATACACATCCGATTTGACTCGAGCTGGTTGGGCTTATCTCAAGGTAAATCCGTTAAATTGATAACAATTTTTTTACCGTCGGGAGTAATGGACGCATGACATAGTTCCCACAATTAAATATTTTCAGGAAGGTGTAACAGGTGTTTGGTTCCCAGCTTGGGTTCTTCTTCAGCAGAGAACATTAATTTACACGCGTTCATTTGAACCATTGGAATTTGAAAAATTGGACCTGAGGAAAGCTCGATGTATTTGTAAGTCTTATCGATAATATCAATTTTGCAGCGATCGATATCAATCGAGATAACGATTGAACTGGGTCCTAACAACGAGGGAAAAAATAGAAAAATGTAATTGCTGTTGTTATGAATCATTCGCATAAGCTGATGCGTTACACTTGTGATAGCGATTTCGCAACTACGAACTAGTTTAAAACAGAATCAGCCAGTGGCAACTAAACTCACCGGATGTTCCTTCACTCGATATTACTGTACGCTCATTGTAATGACTATTGAACCATCGGAGACTAAATATTCCACTGTTGTCATTCGTTTATCAATGATTTTTTATCTTCCCTTTTGTAAGAGCAGTTAAACGCGTCGAGTTAATTGTGAGATGAAATTGTCCCTCGCTTTATAGAAAATAAAAATACGGATAGACTGGATGTTTAGTCATCACTCGATTAATTAAATTCTCTTGAATCATTCCCACGTTTTTTTTTTTCGCCAGAGAACAATGATTCATAACTCCGCTGGTTAACTGGAATAAGTACATTTTTTTCAGGGCAGTTTTCAGCGATTATCTCGGAGCGGAAGGGAGATGGGGATATTTTCATGAATACCTTTTTTGTAGCTCTCACATTTTTCTGGAGAAAATGTATGAGTAAAAATATTCGTATTCGCCTTCAGTTCTGAGATATTCGCAAAAAAAACTTGTCCAGAAAAATGTAGACGTTTTATTTCAACACTTCATTAGTGAATTAATTATTATTCAGTACTGAGGGATCAGGAGGGACCGATTCCAAGTCAGGGGAACGTTCCAGTGGTAGTTATCGATGGGGTGCGTGCAGCCCTTCATTTGACTGCCCCAGGAACCCGAGAAGTCGCTGTCTGGAGACATGCACTTTATCAAGCTGCCACCACCTGTGGTCCTGCTCTAACTGACCAACAACTCACTCAAGAAAATGTACCCGTTATTCTCGACAAGTGCATCAATTTTATTTATGCACACGGTAAAAATAATAATTGATAAAGCTAAAGACAGGCAGAATAGTTCTGGAAATTCCAAAACGACAGGTCGACAAATCGTCTATTTCCCGGATATTCATTCACTCGTTTCTATTAACCGCTGGCTATTATCTTTTTTTTGGGCCATTGAGTCTCTTATTGTATCTTGTAAAAACGTAATAACGTAAATGGCTAAAAGTGGCAGGAAAATGAGAGAATGATGTCGCAATTGTAAATTTAATGATTGTAGTCACATCTCGTGTGTTTCTTTTTCATATTTAATTGCAGGAATAATGTCCGAAGGAATATACAGAAAGGGTGGATCAAGCAGTGCAGTAGTTCGATTACTTGAGGCATTTAGAAAAGACGCGTGGGCAACGCAAATCACTCGGGTCTCATATTCCGAACACGATGTGGCAACAGTACTCCGCAGATTCCTCCGAGACTTACCAGAGCCACTTTTACCCACGAGTATTCATGATTCCCTGTGTCGAGCCATTGGTAAGAGCCATTTCGACATTAATATCCTTGAGTGCAAACCAGTTTGCCCCATATTTCATTATTTAAAAGAAATTTGCACCGATGATTGCTGAGAGTGAATTCAATGGGTTAATTAACGATCATTGACCCCCAGTCGTTGTCAGTATGTTTTTCTCGCCTCTTTGCTCTCTCGGAGGTCATTCAGCGATGATTCATCACGTCCAGTAAAACTCTCACCTATCGACGATTCCATGACGAATGATTTTCTTTCCACATTAGTCTATGAGATAAAAACGTAGACATCGAGGAAAATTAAAACATTTGCATCTCTGGTATTAATATTTGATATTTCTCTGGGAGAATTTCTAAAATCGTATTAATAGAATCGACGAACGGGTGAATTAAATAAAAAATGTTTATATCCTCTGTGTCATCAGCTTGAATACTTGATCTAATCTTGAAATGTCAATTGTTTATTGTTACTTTCTCACCCAATTGACTTGTTTTATTTATTTTCAGATGTTTGTGATGATGAGGAACGAGCAAACGCCTACAGAAAAATCCTCTTTCCTGTGCTGAATGCGGTATCTGGTTCCACATTGAGACGAATATTGGGACATCTGCACTGTCTGAGTCAACAGAATTCCAGGAATCTGATGACTGTGGAGAATATATCAGCGGTTTGGGGACCAACACTGATGCACGCCGGTGGTAAAAGTGCTGAGGAGTGGAATAAATCAGAAACACTAGTCGTTGGTGATTTGATTCGACTGTACACAAAACTCTATCAACTGTCAGCTGAAGATCTGATGAAAGAGGCGAAAATTCTTGAAGTACTTGAACGTCATCATGCCTCGAATAATGGAGTACGTGGTGCACCCTCTGGTGACTTAAAAATCTGGATTTATTTATTTGGAAAAGAGGGCGAGTGTTGTAACGTGACGATTGGACCCCAGAAGACAGCATCAGATATCTGTAAGGAGTTGGCAGAGAAAACTGCGATTTCGGTGCACGAATTGTCCCTGGAGGAGTCGATTCTCGATGGAGCTCTTCACAGGCCTCTTCATCATGCAGAGAAGGTCCTCGAGGTTGTGGCTAGGTGGGGCTACTGCGATTCAGAGGACCGGAAAAATAATATTCTTCTTTTGAAGAAGGATAGGCTCTACAGGGACATCGTTCCCAGGATAAAACCACCCATGACTGCCTCTGGGGAACTCAAGTTCGCTGACACGAAGTCGAAGTGTTTCAAGAGCTATACCTTCGAGTTCAGCCAAGCAAAGCTGTGCTGTTACAAGGATAAAGCCTGTGCTGTCAAGCTTCACGAGTGGAAGATTGAAGATATCATCTGGTATTTGGGACATGAGCCCAAGAGAAATCCACAAATGGGGTGAGTAACTGTGAAGTTGTGATTGTTTTCATTTAATAGAAGATGTCAATCCACATTTCTCCTGTCCACAGGTGGTCAATCACTTTTTTATTGAAGAACGAAGAACGAACGAGAACTAAAGACTCTCCATTTTTCGGTTATACACTGGCTGGTGCCTCTGTTGTAGATCAATATAAATGGCTAGCAGCGATGCTCTTTGGTGAACATCAGATGGATCTTTTTCCATCAGCTGTCAACTTAATGGATCCATAGTTTTCTATTTTTATCCAATTGCTATCACTCCATATTTAATTCACCGCTTAGTTTATCATTGCATATCTAGAATATAATATATACACGAATATTTTTTAATGTACGCTGAATTTTCTTGCCCGGAGCTTTTGATATGATTCTGTATAGATGCCGTTTAGTGCTCAATCCACAAACAGTGAGACACCAAAGAATTGGAATTCACTTTTTATCGAAAAATATCTGTGATTGACCGAAGAATCTAAATATTCAACAAGTATTACGCAGAGATTTATATTTCCTCGATAACTCGATAAAAACGTAGACCGTAATGTGAGGTGCCTTAAAAAATTTATATCGAAGAGATTCATATTTTAATCGATCGACCTGATCTGTCAACTAAATAAACAATAAATTATGATAAAAAAAAGTGTTTTTATTCAGTAGTTTGATTTGGATTAATGAGCATTTGTTATGACGATACGAAAAATCTGTCACTAAAACCGATAAAAATTCCTCATCAATTACAAACAATAAAAAAAGTCATGAATTACACAAATTTCCTGTATAATTAAATGTACAAATCACACCAACAGCATTCACACCTTTAATATCTAAAATACTGGTCCACATTCGAATATATCATCAGTCTATCGCGTCATCGATTATTCATGTTTGGATTGTAAATTGGTCTTGAGTCAAGTGCAACACTAGGATTAACACTTGTTCTCACTTTAATGTACTTTGGCCTGTTGTCCCGTGTGCCCCAGTGAAGGTACAAATACCAACTAGCAATTATCGCTCCTAATGCATTGCAGCAGGCAGATAGAATCAATAAAATCGTGAGAATACCCTCGACCTCAGGACAGTTGAGATCAACGTATTTAAGAGCTGGCTCTGCAGCACTGGCAATATTACTTTTTGGCCGACAGGCACACGTTGCATTTCTCACTCGTGCTGGTGTACACTCAAGGCCACTCAGCTTAACGAGATGAATAATTGCAGCAGTGCATGCGAGCAAGCAGGCCAATGATGCTAGTATTGATAAAAAAATACTGATAGCCTTAGTGGTGGAGAGACAGAAGCCTGGACTCATCCCAGGATATTCTCTCTTGAAACAAAAGAGGAGGCAAACTCCAAAACTCCCTGAGACCAGTAACTGAAAAACAATTATAATTTAATTATTCATTATTCATTTATATTATATATTATATTAGGTTCACTGTAGAAATTATTTTTATTTGACTGACCTGTTGGCTGTTGCCTCGGTTTAGCATTTTAACGGGTTTTTTAAAATGCTAAATAGAGGGTTTCGATATGGAAATTTTCGAGATAGGGAATTCGTACTTACTGGCATTCCACTCCAATATGGGTTGTCGCCGAGAGGTAAGTTTGGTGACCATAGAAGTAACCAGAGGGATAAGGAGGTCACAGCAATACCCAAAATAGTCTGCAATGCTGCCAGGGTTCTAGCTAATTTTCGATGCCTCAGTAGAGGCGGTCTTGACTTCTTTACTGCTGTGGAAAAATAGAAAGGAAAAACCATTGTACATCGGACAATTTGGCCTTGAGTCTAGCATAAATAATTCTTTTATCAGGAATCCAAGGCAATAATTTATTCAATTCCTCAGAATAATTATTGATTGGTTACTCATTCCTCTACAAGAATTAACGTTTTGCTCTTCAGTTTCAATCCAAAGATGTTATTTGCATGAACAAGTTTCACGTTTCCATCATAAAAGAACAAATCTTGAATTCAAATCTGCGAAAATAAAATAGGGAGGCTATAAATTCCATTGTAATGGGCATTCAAACCGGAATTGCTTTTAACCACTCGGGGGGTCTTCTGAGAAAAATAAACCACTGGGTCCTAAACTCAGTCCCATTGACATATACCCGGATTATGGGGGGAGGGCGTTATATGGGACTGAAAATAAATATCGACGCACTTCTGCGAAAATTCACAGAAAGCGCTTCATAAATTCAGGTATGAGCAATAAAAAATTCCAAACCAATGGCCGGATGTTCTGATATTTCCGGAGAAATTTATTTATCCCAGAATGAAAATCGATCACGAGGAAAAGAACCGGCGAGATGACCTTGTACGAGTGGGGCCTCACCATGATTTCCAATGAGGCCCCGCGTGACGTTCGGATTAATGAATAATTTGGTGGATAAGGTAAATGGATTGAGTGAAAATGGATAGGAATTTTAGCTATGTGAAGTTGGCATCGAAGTTTGAAAAATCTAACTTTTTTTTGTTGGTTTGGATTGTACTCATTGAGTACTTGAATGTACCCTGTGCACTTTTTTTTGTACCCTCTTACTTTAGCCCTGAAGC